AGTGAAATCCACAAATTTCAGTATCCTTGCCAGTGTTATTATTTGCTTGAATGGAAGGAACACCAATAGCATTTGCTGATGAAGACATTAACTGTTCTGGCCTGTCACCATCAGAACTTGTGCACACAGTTCGCTTCCTTTCTCTTGTTTGGAGACGTTCCAGGACTTTAAGTTCACTAATGTTGCCCATATCATGTTCTTTTAAAATTCTTCTATTGTGTGAATCGGAGAAATCGTGTTCTCTCTTACAGTTTTCACCAAATTTGCAATCACTATTAATGAAATGCTCACACATGTGTAGGCAGTGGCACTGTTCGCCTTTTTTGCAGGTTGCTTTGCTGTAGAATTTACAGATCTCTGGTAGAGAGTGAGTGGAAACTGATCTCTGCCATGGTGGTGGCATCGGAAAGTTAACACCAGTATTGCTCACTGGGCTCTGTACCAGACTTCTTCGCACAGGGGTAGCATCTCCTGCTAATCAAAAAACAAAGAGAAAGCATAGAAAGAGGTCAACAAAATGTAGAACAAATAGTTAATTAATGTTGAATTATCAATAAAATGATTTGCAAATGAAGAGTCCCAGAAAATAATGAGGGGTGATAAATGGAAAAAAACCCTGGTGGGGGGAGGGGGGTGGGGGCTTCCATGTGTTTGGGGATGCTCACTGGAAAATTTGAATTACACCCCTTACACAGACCAATCTGGGTGTGGGTGTGGCTTTAAAAAGCTTTATTGACCGCTAAACCATACTACTGCTTTGAAATGGACAGAGAGCCAGAGTTGACGGTGTAAACCAGAACAGTTGACCTGCACCACTTTAAAACCTCTTTTATCATTTGTTCATTATGGAATCGCGCCCATTGAAACACGTCGGCTGAAAAAAGTGGGGTACCCAAGATGCTTTGCTCACCCATAAAGCTTTGCCGCCGTTTTCAGTTCCCTTTGACTTCAAAACCAGAACTCCCAAAAGGGAGTTAAATAATTCTCCCTCTCAGTCCATTCGAGACAATAGGAGCAATTAGTAT